TACATGGAGTATATACGTCAACGAACTCTCGCAAATGAACGGTCGGGTTCCGTCACTTGATACAAAGTCTCGAAGAGCTTCAGCGTTATCTAAACTTGCTTCATTATTACTGGATGGGTTCGTTTCTTCAAGTGCAGATGAAATATGATGTGTGTGGCCACACACGATGAAGTGAATTCTAAAATTGGATGGTTAAGATGTCGAGGAGAGCTTAGATTTTATATGTTTTTTGGCTTCTCAATCTAGGTGAAACTACGGAAAAGACCGGTTAAAAAATTTCAGTTTGCATGCCCGAGTAATAGCACATCTCCGCGCACAAGGTTAATCTGCGCGACTGGTGTTAGGATGACTAGACTTTCCCGCTAAGATTTGCAGTGTTTGTTCTATGACATGTTTGATCGTAAAGTTGAAATGAAACAGCCTGCCTGATCGAATATCCTCTGCTTCACGATCAATTTGCGATTCAGATCATAATGGCTATCCGTTTCTTATCTGCTTCGTTTCGCACGCGCCCACCTCGCTAGATGCGAGCTGTCTGGGCACTGCGTTCGAATGACCATCGGTCTGACTCTACCGTTATCACCAGCCCCACGCTTATCTGGCCATGACGCCTGGCGCTTATCAGTTCAATTCGTAGCTGACCACCGCTCCATTAGTGCTTTTGTCAGGTCGATTTCTCCTCAACTTGCCTCCTTTTCAGCACTTCCAGCTGTGGACGTCGCCATGTTACGTGCTGGACACTTCTTCTTTCGGTCATGTCGCTTGATAACTACCAGAAAATCAGGCAATAACCAAGTTAGTCATCTACAACGTTTATACAAGAATATACTGCAATAGCTTTCCAGATTTCTCTCACAAGAACTTCATCGTCTGTAACGGCCACCGAACCCCGAGCAGTGACACCTATCCCGTCAGTAGGTGTTACGCCAGTGGGGATGTACGTTGCTACGAATGACTACCAAATTTCTATCCTCATAATTTTTACAATTCAGTATAAAAAATCGCAAGCATCACCTCCTCATCAACAGCAGAGAAGAACTGAAAAAGGCGCAAAGAATTGTAGTGAAGCTAGGCAGCGCCGTCATTACCCGAGAGGATGAGTGCGGTTTGGCTCTTGGACGACTTGCTTCCATTGTTGAGCAGGTAAAATTACTCAGATACATTCGACTATGAAAACTTTCAGTTCTGCAGAAGGCCATTCACAAGCGCTGACGCAGTTCATCGTAAATCCTCCTGACCGGTTTTGTGAAGTTTTCATAAACTTTCTATAAAAGATGCGCATTTACACGATTTTAGAGCATCTGCAATAGAAAGTTTTGAGAAAATGCTGGAATGAAATTCAGAATTGATCAAGTTTGTAGTTGTAAATTACTGGGGGCGCTTGTAATGGTATTAGGTTTCTTTTTACACGAACTACTGCCCATTTTCAAGTAACACATATCATACCAAGCACTCGGTCAAAAGAGCATGGTAGATTTGAACATAAACTTTACAGGTGGCTGAACTACAGCAATCCGGTCGTCAGATGCTTATAGTATCGTCAGGGGCGGTAGCATTTGGTAGGCAAAAGCTACGTCAAGAGCTTGTCATGAGCATGAGCATGCGACAAACACTCAGGTTTTTCACCTTTTTCCGAACGTAAGAGGAAATCAAAAGAGATTGTTTAGAGGCCCATCAGGAATGACAGCAGATAAAAGAGCTTGCGCAGCATCTGGAATGCCTGGACTGATGTCACTATATGAGCAACTATTCCAGCAGTATGGCATCACTGTGGCACAGGTTAGAGCTAATCGATGATTCTGATGACAAATCAAGTTACTACTTTGCCTATAAGTGCAATTCATGTCCTTCAAATCCACTTTATTGTCAGGCTTATCGTGCCTTTTCAGGTCGAGAGTCCTAGCTTAGATAGATAAGAGGGCTATTTTTTGACTGTTATTGTGTGTCAAATTTCTCGCTTTTTTAAGGTCCTTCTTACGAAACCGGACATAGATGACCCACAAAGAAGGAAGAATCTGCAAGCCACAATTGAGAGTTTGCTTGCTCTCAACATCATCCCTATAGTCAACGCAAACGATGCTGTGGCTCCAGATCCAAAGCTCAATATGGTAAGTTATAACAAGAAAACTCACAAGAGCTATAGGGCATCGTCTCTGCTATATCAGCAGTGTTTCGACTACATCTAGAAGACGAGTAAACAAGGTACCAAGGTAACCAAGGTATGTAGCGGGGAAACAAAAAAACGCAGCATCGCTATAAATTTTGATCTCACCCGAATATTTGTAACGTAAGCTTCTCGCAAATCCAAAAACCTTAATATGAAGCAATCAGCCTATTTACTAACTATGCTTTCATGCGTTTCTATCCTCAAAATAGTATTCTCGTGGCTATTAGAATTAATTGAAGTACAAACGCCGAGCTCCGGCATATACGACGTAATAGCAATGCAAAGAAAATGATTTCCAAATGCTATCATTGCAAGAAAAAGTATAGTACAAAATGTCGTGACATAAGGAGAGCTAGACTTTATTGAAAGGGAATGACATTTCGATTTTGAATGATCTTGGGATAAGTAGAAAATGGTTCCTTATTTTGATTCCAAAGAT